GAGCCATATCGGCTTGGCTGGCACTGCACGGAGCCAGCTGAGAATCATGGGGGCCAAGCCAGCTCCTGCTGAGTCCTGTGGTTCCAATGATGCAGCCAGGAACCATGTGGTGCTGGAGTGGCAGCAGGCAGGCAGAAAAGCGAGGAAATGGGAGTGGAAGGCAGGGGGGCTAGTGGCAACACATGTGAGCGCAACGACAGCTGGGTGGAAGCCCGGGTCCCATTCTGGTGTCCTAGGGATAAGGCCAGCAAGGCGACAGGAATGCGGGGTGAGAACTCCCGCTTGCTGCCACTCACCCCCCCCCCACACACACACACACACACCTGTGGCTGCTATTTCCCTGCTTTCCTGCTCGCCGCCCCCACCCACCCATCAGCTGCTTCAGCACCACATGGTTCCTGGATGCATCATCGGACCACAGGACTCAGCAGGAGCTGGCCTGGCCTGGCCTGGCTCTGAGGACTGGAGTGATCGCTTGCAGTCCTCCCCTGCCTCTTCCCCAGCCCCACCCCCCTTTCTTACCTGAGTTTTCCTCTCTGATGGAGGGAGGTGGAGAACAGCCCCAGGATCCCAGGCCAGAAGTTTCTGCTAGACAGAGGCTTCTGGCTGGGCATGGGGTGGGGTTGGATGGTCCTTGCTGCTGCAGTTGCTGGGTCCTGCCGCTTGCTCCCCCTGGGTCCTACTGCACCTAGTGCCTTGTCATCTTTGACAGGCAGCCAGGGGCAGATAAAATATTAAATTTCTAAATTCTTTTAGGGGCCCTGCAGGCCATATATCCATCACACCAGGCCATTCTCCAGCCTGTGGGCCATATTTTGTCTGCCCCTATTCTAATTGTATCCTAATTATGGGGGGTCTTCCCTATCATGTCACTTATCGCAAAACATAGTCAACTAACGTGTAATCAATCTTTAACCTAATAAAATAGAGTTACTCCAATGGGATTGATAATCATGACTGTTGGCTACTGTTTGTCAGGATTTTGCTATTCTCAGCTATTCGTAATGTGCATATTGCACATCTATAACAGGTTGCAGGCCTGTAGTCTGGATCAGTTAGCTGGCATCAAGCCACCTGTCTAAAGGGCCTCAGCTGGCAGGCAATCTGCAATAATGGGGGGAAGTTGACTGGCTGACAGAAATAAAAGGACAGGAAGTGTAAGTGAGAGAAGGAGGACCTGGAGAGGGGATGATCATGTGGAGAACGAGGACTCCTCCAAGGAAGAAGAAAGATTACAAAGGTGAGAACTAACTCATGCCTGTGGATATTCATTCTGGATTGTTTTGTGTGTTCTTCTGAGCCCCGTGGTGCAGATTAACCCAGGGCTTTGAAGTTTGGGTTGCTGGGCCCAGAGAGAGAGTGTGTTGTTGGGACTAGGTTAAAGGTGTGTTTTGTTTTGGACTACTTAGGTTTTTGACTGAGCCCTGTGGAGCTGAAGAACCCCGGGCATTAGAGCCTGTGCTGCTAAGCCCAGACGGTCACTATGTGGCTAGGACCAGGTTAAAGAAGTGGGTTGAAGGACTGATTTGTCTGGCAGAGCTAGGCTGACCCAGACCTGGCTACAACACCATGTTGAGACAGAGTAAAGAAAGACTTTTGATACTTAAAACACAGAAAAAAAAATGTATTGCGAAATTTCTGTGTGCGAGTCTTGCTAAGTATATGAAAGCTATATTACTGTACAGATAAAAAAAAATGTAGTATCTTTCTACAGAAATTCCAAATGGTCATTATAAGAATAATAGATAATTCTGCAAAAATAATTACATGGATAAATAGTTCTATAAATGGAGCGGTTGTTTTCCTGCCTTGTTGAGTCAAGAAACAATGAAGTGTATCACTTGACTTGAGGTGATATGGAGGGCTTAAGCCAGGACTTTTATTTATTGGAGCAGATAATGCTGTGGTGTCGTGAGGGGCTCACATGGAGGGTGGGGTGCGTGCGCGTGTGGTCAGGGGCGCACATGGAGGGCGGGGTGCGTGTGTACACGAGGTGAGGGAAGCACATGGATGGGTGGGGGCATGTGCGTATGGTGAGGGAAGCACACAGAGGGTGGGGGTGTGTGCGTACACACACATGTGGTGAGGGAAGCACATGGGCTGTGTATGTGTGTGGTGAGGGAAGCACACAGAGGGGGGATACACATGGTGAGGTGAGCACACGGGGGTTTGTGTGTGTGTGTGTGGTGAGGGGAGCACATGGTGTGTGTGTGTGGTGAGGGGAGCACACGGGGGTGGATGGGTGTGTTGTGAGGGGAGCACACGGGATGGGGGGTGTAGTGAGGGGAGCACAGGCTGGGGGGGTGTAGTGAGGGGAGCACAGGCTGGGGGGGTGTAGTGAGGGGAGCACAGGCTGGGGGGGTGTAGTGAGGGGAGCACAGGCTGGGGGGGTGTAGTGAGGGGAGCACAGGCTGGGGGGGTGTAGTGAGGGGAGCACAGGCTGGGGGGGTGTAGTGAGGGGAGCACAGGCTGGGGGGGTGTAGTGAGGGGAGCACAGGCTGGGGGGGTGTAGTGAGGGGAGCACAGGCTGGGGGGGTGTAGTGAGGGGAGCACAGGCTGGGGGGGTGTAGTGAGGGGAGCACAGGCTGGGGGGGTGTAGTGAGGGGAGCACAGGCTGGGGGGGTGTAGTGAGGGGAGCACACGGGTGTGGGTGTGTAGTGAGGGGAGCACACGGGTTGGGGGTGTGGGTGTGTAGTGAGGGGAGCACAGGGCAGGTGTATGTAGTGAGGGGAGAACACAGGATGGGGTGTAGTGAGGGGAGTACACGGGGGGTGTTCGTAGTGGGGAGTACACGGGGTGTGTGTGTTCATAGTGGGGAGTCTCAGAAGCACCCCCCACCATAGAGATGCACCCACACCTTGCCTTGCACTGCCATACATGCAGATGTTCACAGCCCCTCCCGCATCCACACCCCAGCCACCCTCCCCCATGCACCCCATACCCACTCTTACCCCACCTATCAACCCCCACATTAAACCTCCCCACATGCCCCTGCCCCACAGTTTACAAGAGTAAGACTTCATTTTAAGCTATTGTGCAGCCATCTCTGTGTACACTACACAAATGCATATAATCGGCACATAAGTACTTTTTGGAATCAAATTAATGTTGTACATGTTCGATTTTTAGAATATAATTTGTTAGTTTTGTGGTTCTGAAATTGCAAAACCCCTTGTTGAAAGGAGTATTTCTGGGGGCAAAGGGAGGGGCTTCTGGTGACAAAGGTTAGGGGTTAGGGTGCCGGACTTCCGGTCCCAAGATGGTGCCTAGTGGGTGGGGCTCCTGTCAAGGTGCAGGGCTACCCATGCGGCCCTCGGTAGTTTGCCAAAACTGGGTAAGTGGCCCTCCTCCCGAAATAATTGCCCGCCCCATGGTATTGTATTTTCTCAATAAACTAGCCTGGGACAAGTAAACTAGAATGTTCTTCCCGTTATTATAGGAAATATGTTGGACGCTTGGCTGAAAGCTGGCCTCCAAAATCTTTGCATGACCCTGACAATAGAAGAAAGTCTATCCAGCCAGAACCATCCTTACTGACTCCAGGCAATTTAAGGGATTTATTCAAGGGTTGTTCTTGCTTCTAAAATCCTGAAGGGAAACTGCATCATAATCAGCCATTTTATCAGCCATAAAATACAGAGGATATCGAGTTTGTCACCTGCTTGTCTGGCCACTTTGATGAAAGACTAGGACACAGGAAACCAAATGCTTTGAAAAAAGTGCAACTTTCCCATACCTTTCCAAAATATTCTCCTTTTCCATCTAGTTGTATCTTTGAGATGCTGTGCTAACAAAGAAATCTGGAAACGTATGAGCTATTGAATTAGCTTTTAACTGGAGTTTTTTAGTTTTATGTGGATCCAGTTTAAGAAGTGCTTCTGAAGGTGTGGACAGAAGTAGCCATTAAAATGTTTCAAACAGCCAGCTGTACAAACATACAGGCTCTTCAAAACATTCCTAAAAGCGATGAAGCACTCCAAAATAGTTCCCCTTTAAATAAGGTATTATTTTGAAGCATTCCAGTTCTTATTCGATGTAAAAGTTCTGACTACTAACAATTACTATCTCAGCTCACTTTCTAGTAAAACCAGGGTCATTAATCTCAACCTTCACCTCCTTGCATGCATCTCAAGTAGGTTAAATTAACCTGTTCTGAGCTCCATGATGCTGTAGCTAGAAGCTGTTGCTACCTACCTAGTTCATGTAAAGGTAGTGTGGCTATTTCACCCTATGCTGCAGTCATGGGACTGGACTGGACTGGAGTGATTGCTGTTTGCACATGTTAGAGACAGAAAATATAAACGATTCCTATAAAGAGCCATAGGCTCCTCTGAGTGACAGATGCTACATAAACATAAGCTGCCATTTCACATTGTTCAAAAGACTGAGATATGATGTTATGGTCCTGCTGGGAGGCTGGGGAAACATCTTGGGAACTGCATCCTAAACTGGCTAGTGTCATTTACTTGTAACCAAAGTGGTTCAAGTTTTGGCAAAAAGTCTAGAAATGAGTACAGTACTACAGTTGGTGCTCCCACAAACAAATGAATCCAAGCCCTTTATGAGGCTGAACACAATTGTCCCTTCCCAGGGTTCACTGTAGATCATTCTTGAAGGTCACAGTGAGACAAGGTGGGGGGGGGGTATAGATTCAAAGCAGCTCTAATTTTAATTCCTGTAGGATTCTGGCTACTCTTGTAGCCAGTCTGCTGCTGGAGGTCATCTGCCTCTGTACAGCATTCAATATCCTAAGCAAACTGTAGCCTTGGCAAGTGTTTGAAAATACAAAGTTGTCTCTACCTATCGTTACTTCTTCCAGCCACTCTCCTCCTTTGCCTTACACACAAACCAGGATACTCTGTAAAGTCAATAAACTGTCACTTGAGCCTTCCCTCCCCACACCAGCTAAACTATCATCTAAAATTGGGTGATTATGTTCACCACAAGTATCAAGTTCTCTAGATCACATGTACTCCCAGCTGGTATTTAACTCTGTAACCTCTGGGAGATTCAGGACTTTTGCATAGATTGAGGAGCTAATGAAATCTGTTGTTTGCAACTTAAAAAAACATTTTTATCTTTCCTTTTTTGTTTTTGTTCAGAAAAGCAAAATAACACTTTGTTTATTAAGTCTGATCACAATGTTTCTGGTTCTTTTAGCTACCCCAGAGTTAAAGGATTTTTTTGCCAAAGCCCGGAATGGCTCCGTCCGTCTGATCAAAATTGTCATTGAAGATGGTAAGTTCTGTTTGATTATTGTTCTTGGGCTTGTTTCTCTTCCTTGTCACCTTCTGTCCCCTTCATGGTTGGGGCTACATGTACCATAACTGATGAGGGCTTCTTTAGAGCCACCAGTAGAGGCTTGATAGGGGCTACTGGAATACAGCTACACAGAATGTGCTACCAGGTATGGAGCATGAAATGAATCCAGTTACAATGTTAAAGAAGCAGAATTCTTCCTTGTTTTTAGCAGTGAAACCTCTATGAGATACAATCTTGAACTTCTTGCTTCTGTTGGTGAGCAGTTATTAGCATGAGTGGTTCTGTCAACTTCAGCAAGACTACTTATGCAAGTAATGGCTTGCCAGTGGGAATAAGTTTCACAACTAATTTATCCTGATGGGGTGATTGCTTCTGCTTTGCTGTTGCTGTTTGCTAGTCTTGTTGCATGTTGTATTGGTGCCATTTTTTGATCAAATGACTTTGTTGGTGAAGACTGTTTTCACCCATGGCAGTTAGTTAACTGCTTTAAACAAATATGGTAATGATTCCCTTGCTTGACCACCATAGTGATGGGCTCTACAGAAACATTAAAGAGATGGGTAATAGCCTCCAGAGCTGCAAAAGCATTTTTCAGCGATGGTGCATGGACAATTTAACATTGCCTTTTTAATAAAAGAGGATGAAAAGTGTATGTGTTCCTCATCCATGAGCGTAGTCCCCAAACTGGTGCTTGGCTATTTAATGGATGTTCTATTTTTTAAAACCTTGGAAGAGGAACACCTGAAGTGTCAACCAAAGTAATGCCCATTCTTTTTCTTACCTAAAAGCAGAGTAGGGTAATATGAAAAACTCCATCAGTCAGAAGCTCAGCAGCCTGAAGTAGACTGCTAGAATTCCACTGACGTCAGCAAAGCCCTGCAGATTTACACAAATTAAATATTTGGTCTAAGATTTTTAAGTGTGCATGTGGTGTTATTAAGCACAGGTATTGATTTGGACCAAATCACAGACTACAGCTCTTCTTGTCACAATTTTATATATGGCTGCCATATGCTTCTTCTTGTGCATTAGGACACTTTTCAGTACCTACTCCCTCCATTTTGAGTTTAAAGTGAGATAAGCAAGTGTAGTTTGTAGTCTGTTTTGGCCTTTTGAAAATGATGGATTAAGCATTGGTTTGCCATTTAATTTGCTATAAAACCATCTCAGTAAGTTTTTTTTTTTTGCCGTGTGTGTGCCTGGCACATAGGTATCACTTTTTCTTGAAGCTACAGTAATATAACCTATTAAAAAAATCTGCGTTTCATCATTCAATGAATTTCCATTGGTCAGTGTTGGAGATTATGGGATGGAATCTATCCCAGCTTCAGCCCTGATCTACTAGTTTGGTGGCATACTGGTGAGGAAGCCCTTCATCTGGCCATGATTTTGGATCCTTTGCTGAGGATGCTGCATACAGCTACCATAAACAGTTGTAGTGCTACTCATACTGGTGCCACCAAGCCTGTGACTATGTTGGGGATTGTTCATCCCTAGCTGGAGCGCTTGACACTTCTCAGTGCTGAACTTCATCTGGTTCCAATCTGCCCAATTTACCAGCCTGTCTAGGTCTACCTGTATCTACAGCCTATCTTCACGTGTGATCACGCTCCCCCACTTTTACTGGTGGACTGGGCTTGGGATGATAGAGGAGGTTTGGAGGTCCCAGTAGTGCCAGAGTAGGCATGTGAGGCTTGAGCCTGCCAGGGACAGGGTGCAAGGCACTGTAGCCTGAAAAAGGCAAGAATGAGAGCCTGAAGCCCAGAGGGGCAGCATTCAGAGCCCAAGAAGAATGAGATCAGGGCTGGAACCCAGAAGTCAGGACAGGCGCAGTGGGCCCAGGGTGAGGGAACCAACAAAAAGGAAGGGATGGAGACCGAGAAGGCTCATACCCCTGGATTGGGGGTCAAGTGCCTACTAAAATCATTTAATTAGTAACATCTGTGAGGCATAGGCATAGCTGTGAGGTCGAAGGCCATGAATAGCCCTTAAGGCAGTGGTCTCTAACTTTTTTATGGTGACGATCACTTTTTGGCACCCCAGGATCTACTGTCCCACCCCCCACCTCCCAGGCAAGCTGCCCGAGCTCTGACCCCACTCACCCAGCCCAACTCAGGCGGCAGGGGCTTGGCTCAGCCCAGCCTCATGAGTCCTGCCGCTCCCGATCATGGAGCTTCTGACAGACTGCCAGAGGCTCTACAATCGACCAGTTGATTGAGATCGACTGGTTGGTGACCTCTGCCTTAAGGCTACAAGTACTTTGAGGGGCATGGGCTGGCAGAGAGGGCTCACCGAGTGCAAATTAGGACTGAGACTACTGGGGTTCAGATGGGGCCTGCTGGATGTCAGGAGAACTAAGGGCTCACTCTAGGACCCTTAGGCAGCCTCCCTTCCTAGCATTCAGCAGTTACATCAAGGCATGGCAGGTATAAAGAATGGGAAAGTACTTTAGAGCCAGAGCAGGGCAAGGCTTGTATGGCTACCAGGAGGCATCACGGCCACTCCTGGAGCATGACTTGCTACGCCATGCTTCGATGTTATGCTTTCTAGGCAATGTCCCTTGGAACGGCAGCACAGAAATGGACTCAGAGTACATAATGAAAGACTGACTGCTGCTGCCTAGGGCAAGAAGTGCAATTAACCATCATCATATTATACCAAGATACTCTTCTTATTTTCTATTTTAATGGAACACTCTCTTATAATTGCATCCTTTCCATCCTGAATAAAGGGATTAGTCCAGTGGTTCTCAACCTTTTTAGACTCAAGGCATCCCTCCGAAACCTTTCAGAATTCAATGGCATCTTCTTTAAAAAAAAATATTGTGTGGATGTGCATGTAGGTGTGTGTGCGTGTGTAGAGGTGCGCATGCCTATACACGTGTGTCTGCGTACCTGTATATGTGTGTGTGTGTGTAAAGTGTGTAGAAGTGTGCATATGTAGAGGTATGTTTGCATACGTGTGTGTCTGTGTAGGTGTGTGCGTGCGCATAGAAATGCGTGCGCGTGTGTGTGTGTGTGTGTGTGTGTGTTAGTTGATTACATAATTATAATTATATTCTTCCCTTTAGGCCACTGGCAGGGAGTGCTTCCCTAGCTCTGTCTGGCCTGGCCCAGCCGAGTGTGTTTGCTTCCAATGCAGCATTAGACTTCCCCCTCACCCCACTGCCCCTCCACCCCCCCCCCCCCAACAGCTCCAGGTCACTGGTGGAGAATTGGAACTACAGGGGCACTGTCTTCTTTTAGTTCCCCAGAGTGATTCTCCCCTGAGCTCCAGGCCTGGGGACCTATAGGACAGAATCCGGGGGTGTCCAGCCAGCAGGGATGAGGTACTGGGCTACACATGAAGCATGTGGGGAATGTTGAAGGGTCAGGAGGGAACCGGGGTGTACAACAGGACACATGAGGCCTGGGAATGGGAGGACAATGGGGGTACTACTGCACCATTCAGTACTGCTGCCATAGTGTGAAACTGCTCTGCGTGCCTTCATTTTTCAGGCGGCACATTGGAGCCAATCTAAGTGTCTGCAGTAGAAAGGTCTGCTTGCCTGCATTACATGATTCAAGCCACACATTGCTGCTCCTACAGGTTTTCCAGGTTTGGCTGTAACAAACCTCCTGAAAACTGAACAGCATGACACAGTTGTACCTGGTAGCAGTGGCATCTGTTTCCAGGCTGCTGCCACGGTGCCTTGCATGCTTCAGTTTTCAGGATGCATGTCAGAGCTGTGCTGGGAAGAGCTGCTGCAGAAAGGCACAGCGGCCTGCATAATATAATGACCCCAGTTTCAGAAAGTGTGACCAAACACTTTTTTCCAAGAGATTGGTGGAAGCTGTGGGCACCCAACACTTGTGAAAGCAAGGCCTTAAATTTTTATCATGGCTTCGCAATTTGTAAAATAGAGAAATTTGCCAACCTTGTAGCCAGGTAAGAATAATTCATTAAGTTGGAGCACATAATCAATTGCAAAGTATCCTGATTTGGTCATGGCTTATTTGCAGCTGGCACTCTTCATGAGGTATATTAGCCACCATTCATGGAAACATCACAGCACAGGCTGATTAGGATATAATCCTCTACATGATATGCTGCTGTAGAATTTGAGGATGCCATGCCAAACTGGGTGGGAGGAATTTGATTATGAGCTCCTTTTATCTGAAAGTAAAGCCTTCTCTTTCTTTTCCTAAACTGTCTGGAGGAATCTTGCTCTGCTGCTTTTGAGATAGGTGTTGTATATAGCATGAGTTCCCTATATTGGCATAGGTGGTGGAAGGCCAGGGCTAACAGGGCTTAGCCTCCACAAATGCATGGTAGCAGTGGCAACACAGGGCTGCAGGGCAGCCTGGGCACAGGCTCCGGGTGGCTGCAGCAGGGGATGTGCGCAGACACGGAGCACAGCCCATCACAGCAGGCAAGTTTGTTAAGGGGAAGGGAGGGTGCAGATTGAGGCCCCCACAGTGAGGGAGGGAGTGGGCAGGGGCAGGGGTAAATGGGGCCTGGGGCGGGTCATGGGACAGTCAGAGCCTGGGCTGCTCATCCAGGGGCGTGGGGGGGCTTCTCCCGCTGCGTGCATCCTGGGAGAGTCATGGGAGGTATGTGCCCCCCAGATTTGTGCGTGGGCTGGAGGTGGGCTGCCGCTGAAGGCTAGGGCTCTGTAGCCTGCTGCCATGGGAGTCGCGTGTGATGCGATGTGCCTGCCACCACCAGGCTGCGCTGCATCCCCTACCCACCTGGCAACTGCAAGCACATAACGTCTCACAGTTCCTGAGGCAGAGGCAGTGGGGCTCGGAGCTCCAGCCCACAGCAGCAGCTCTCTGCTGTCCTGCACAAATCCAGGAGGCAAATGCTTTCCATGCCTCCCCCAGGATGTGCACAGTGGCGGGAGCCCCCCTGTGCCCCTGGATGGAGCTGCCTGCGCTCCAACCGTCCCATGACCCACCCCAGGGACCCATTCACCCCAGCTGCTGTCCCTGCCT